ATCCGGGTCCGGATGGTGAAAATGTGCGATTTCAATGCATTTTCGACCTTAAAGCGGCCGCCATTTGGCTATCGTTAATGAGATCATGAAACAAATGCACATACATATTTGTGACATGATGTACCTTGTGTGTGTGAAGTTTGAACTCGATCAATCCAAGCATGTCTCAGATACGGATCCAGAACTGAATTCTTTAAAACAAAATGGCCGCCAGTTGGCTATTTCGAACCCGATCCAAAAAAAAAAAAGACGTGCATCAAGGTCCTATTATGTTTAATGTATGTACCAAATTTAAACAAAATCTGTCCATGCATAACTGAGATCCGGGTCCGGAATGGTGAAAATGTGCGATTTTGATGCATTTTCGGCCTTAAAATGGCCGCTATTCGGCTATCGTTAATCGGATCATGAAAAAAATGCATGTGCATATGTCCCATATAATGTGTGATGTATGAGTGAAGTTTGAACTTAATCGGTCCATGCATGTTCGAGATACAGGTGATCACGGACGCACGGACGCACGAATGCACGGACGCACGGACGGACGGACGCACACAGGGCAAACCATAAGTCCCCGTTTTCGGACTACGTCCGAACGGGGACTAATTAATTATGCAAATTAATATATACTGATATTACCCTAAAAACTATCAGGTCTGTGCAGTGTCCTATGACATCTATGTACCAAATTTCATTGAAATGTGATGATTACTACTTGAAATATCAAAAGCTGAAAACTAATTAATTATGCTAATTAGATAATTAATATGTACTCTTATTACCCTAAAAACTATCAGGTCTGTGCAGTGTCCTATGACATCTATGTACCAAGTGTCATTGAAATGTGATGATTACTACTTGAAATATCAAAACTGAAAATTAATTAATTATGCAAATTAGCTAATTAATATATACTGATATTACCGTAAAAACTATCAGGTTTGTGCAGTGTCCTATGACATCTATGTACCAAGTTTTATTGAAATGTGATGATTAGTACTTGAGATATCAGTGGAAAAGCCGTAAATTGATTAATCATTATGCCAAGTTTCATCAAAATCCAATGAGTGGTTCTTTAGATATCAGTGGAACAGTCATGGAACAGCTAAAAATCAGCTAATTATCATGCAAATTAGTTAATTAATATGCATGTTTTTTACCAAAACCTAATCAAATCTGCGCATTGGCCCAGAGCATATATGCACCAAGTTTCATCAAAAACTGATGTATGGTTCTTGAGATATCAGTGGAACACACATACACATATACACACACACACACACACATACACATACACATACAGACACACTAACTGCAAAGACTCCCTTTTTGTGCTTCGCACACGGGAGTCAACAACTTAACTGGAAAGCTGAAGAGTAGGAAAAGCTGCATACAAGATCAGAAAGGTCGCCTGGAAAATAGTCAGAATTACTGCATGAACCTGATGCTCTGTTTCTGCATAGCCTTGAGTGTCACAGAAGGAACTAATCTAATGGAGGTCTATCCAAGGTACACGTATATCAAGTATCAAGTAATTGGAGTAGTGGTTTTCAAGAATATATAGAATTTTTAACCAAAAATGACAAAATTATTTGCTTATAATAGAGAATAGAAGATATCGCCCTGAAATGAATGAATCTGACAGAGGTCCACCAAAGATACCTAGATACTAAGTATCAAAGTAATTGAGGTGGTAGTTTTCAAGAA